CGGCTGCACTCAGGAGCCAGCCCACTGAGCCCCGGGGTCCCCCAGCCCGTGACACCCGCGGACCACCGTCACAGTCAGGCAGCGCCCTGACCCATGGGTGAGCTTTGAGAGCCAAGGGCAGGCCCTGAGCCCGMGGGGATGGGCCTGGCTGGGCAGACCGCCCCTGAGCTGGCTGCCCCGGATGAGCAGGACCCCCACCATGGCAGAGGTGGCCCACGAAGCACAGGGAGCTGTGGTCACAGCCCCTGGCTCTTCCGTTTAAGGAAGCCAGAGCTGGACAGGGGGCTTGCAGGGGGCGGAGTGTCTGGACACTGGCCAWGTCGTGGTGGTGGGGCCTCCTGGCCCACCTGGCAGTGGGCAGCCATTTCCCAGAGGCGGGTGGGGGCTCTGGAGGACACAGGGTCTGGGGGTAGCTGAGCATCGCCCCAGAAACTTCACATCCGCCGTCGCTGACCTGCCGGGCTGCACCCCACCCTGAACCGGTGGCTCCTGCCCACCCTCAGCCTGGCCGGACCACACGGCCCTGCCCTTCATCCCGTCCTCAGGCTGCTCGGTGGCTTTCGCAGGTCACCTGGGTGTCCTGCCGATGGAGGCCTGTCCTGTGCCCAGTTCACCTGGAAACAGTCTTCCCACCGTGGACCCGGGAAGCCTCAGGCCCAGGTGCGCCCCCCCCCCCCAGAGACTGGGGGCCTCGGACGGGGAAGCTGTTCCCCCTGCGAGATCGGGGGCCTCCCCGCCTCCCGGCAGAGACAGGATCCAGGAACCTGCGCCCCGCACCCTGCCCTGTCTCGGGCCATCTTCAGCCCAGGGCCTGGCCCTAGGGACGTTGCCCTCAGCTGTTGGAAAGGCCCCTCTCTGCTGCCCGCCCAGGTCTGGTGTCCGTGTAATGAAGGCGTCCCCATGTCCGTCCCCCATGTGCCCCCACCCCACGCTGACTGCTCAGCGACTGGCTTTTGGTGCGTGGAGGACTCAGCCCCCGTCAGCAGGGTCTCTCTGCGGCCAATTCCACTTAATCCTGTTGATTGATGTAACTCGGAGGCTGAAGGGTTCCTGGGGGTGGGGAGGGGAAGGGCGCCCAGGGCGGGTGGGGGCGAGAAGCAGCGTCCAGGCCCCCCASCCCACCCCGTCACCACCCTCGTCATCACCATCATCAACAGGAATGATCTTCCCGGGTCCTTTCTGTTCCAGATGATTCTCAAAGGCTGTTTTCCATTGCACCCCCAAAGCCATCCAGTGCCGAAGGCAGGGGTGCGCTTTTATCCTCATTTTTACAGCTGAGAAAACCCAGGTCCAGAGACGGGGAGGGACTTATCCAAGGCCACACAGCAAAGGAAAGACAGAGATCAGGACCCAGTTATCAGGTCCCCAAGGCTGTCACACTCCCTGCCAGTCAGTCAGTCCCTTCCKCACTATCCCTCTCCATGGTCTCATGGGGGCTGTGTGGGCTCCTTGAAGTGACTGAACCTCTCTGAGCCTTGGTTTTCCTATTTTGGGGGACGGCAGGGGTACCAGGGATTGAACTCAGGCACTTGGCCAACGAGCCACACCCCCAGCCCTGTATTGTATTTCATTTAGACACAGGGTCTCACTGAGTTGCTGAGCACCTTGCCGTTGCTGAGGCTGGCTTTGAACTCGCAATCCTCCTGCCTCAGCCTCCTGAGCCACTGAGATGACAGACGTGCACCACSGCACCTGGCTTCCCTATTTTTAAAAGAGCCAGTTGTCCCAGCTTCATAGACCTGTCATGTGAACAGCACAGAGGAGCCCCCCACACCCTCAAATGGGGGTCTCATCCCCTGCGAGGCCGGGGAGCGGGTGGAAACTCTCCTTCAGGGGACTGAAGACACAAATAGACTGTGGTCCCCTTCTCCTAAGATGTGTCTGCCTCTCTGCGGGTGGAGGACAGTCTTGCTGTCCCTTCTCAGCATCCCAAGAGTTGTTATGGCAACACATCCTCGCAGAGTGTCCTCCAGATCCTCTCAAACAGCGGAGACCTGCGGGCTGGCTGGCTTCCTCCGCCTGGGCTGCTGCCTGTGTCTCTCTGGCCCCACGGGGCTCCCCAGGTCCTGCTGATCCGGGGTGGGGGGAGCTGGGGGCCAGGGGACCAGAGCGGAGGTCCATGGTGGGCCTCGGATCTTGGAGAGCAGAGGCATGGGGTGGGGCAGAGGCTCTGAGCCTGGGCGGTGGACAGAAGCAACTTGAACTGGGCGCCTCTGCCCAAGACAGATGTGGGTCATTTGGTCATTGTCACAGTTTTGGTCACAGCCTGATAGTCTGCTGTTATTTCCTTAAGGCTTTACTTTGTACAAAAGTAAAGGGTTTGTAGAAACCCTGTTCAGGAGAGCAGCGCTCCTGCCCGGGAGCCCTGAGTGCCGGCTCCAGGGCCTTCAGTGTCCTGGAGAGTGTCCCCGTGGGCAGCTCCAGGCCCAGGGCTGCCCCTGCCCTGAGGGAGGCGGGTCGGAAACAGAGTCCAGCCCAGTGGAAAAAGCTCTCCAGTGGCACAAGGTGGTGTCCGGGTGCCCGATGCCACTCGCGGCCAGGTCGGCCACATGGGACAGCGTGGGTGGAGAGCATCCCGTCACCTCCGAGGCTCTGGGCGCAGCCTGGGCCATTAGCTGGGCTCCCTCCAGGGCCACTGTGCCCCTCCCTCAGTGGACCGTCCTCCGAATCCCGGCTCTGAGGACAATCTGTGCCGGGGTCTCGCCTCTGACCACCCTGATCCCTGTCCTGCCGGAGCCTGAGGGTCCCCGCACGGGTGCCACTCCTGCGTCCCTGGCCACCTGCCAACGCCAGGTCCTCCTTCAGAGCCGCGCTCGCCCTCCTGGTCCCCATCAGGAGTCAGGCCTGCRGCGAGTTCCCAGGCGTGAGTCCTTGGGATCAGTTGTCTCTGGCTCTGAGCCCCGGACGTGCCAGGGAGGGGCCGGGAGGCCAGCTGGACCCACGCCGTCTGCGCTCGGTGTCAGAGGGGGCTGGGCAGCTGGCAGCCCGGGCCGTGAAGGGCAGGGGAGGGCTCGGCCCTGTCCCCAGATCTGCCCTCAGCACTGAAGGGAGGACTGGCTTGGTTCCCTGGGTCTGTGGCAGGATGTCACAGCTGGGGACAGCCTGGCAGTGGTCAGTAAGGCACAGGGACGACTTCCCAATGGGTGAGCTAGAGGAGGGGAGAAGGAACCCAGGACAGAGCAGAGGTGTTGCCCCCGGCCACTGGGCTGCAGGTGGACTCCGCCCCCTTCCCCCGTGACCTGCAGGGCAGCACGGGGTGGACCGCCCACCGTGCCCTTCAGCAGCCAGGCCTCTGCCTGCCGTCCCCTCACCTCCTCTGTGTTGAAGGGGCCGAGCTCATCTTTGTTTCCGTGGCTTTCCAGCGTGTGTGGGGGCTCCATCCTCGTGGGGTCCCGGGCGTCACTTAGCTGGGCACAGCAGGGTGTGCCCTGGCGTTGGTGAGCAGGTGGGACCGCAGCTGAGTGCGGAGGTGACCCTGACAGCCTGGACACTCCCCTCTGGGGTTCCTGACTCAGTTTCTCCCATCTGTAGTGTGGGCCCGTGACGCCGTGTCCATTCAGGCAGAGCAGATGCTCAGTAAAGGGTCTGGTGAGGGAGTGAACACAGACCAGGGTGTTTTCCAGGATCCAAAGATGGAGGAAGGAAGGAAGACCRAGGCAAAGAGGAGAGGGAGAGRGCAGCAGCCGGAGGAGGAGGACSTCAGGGCTCTCTCCCTGCCCCYCTACCTTCCTGCTTCCCTGGTTGCTTCTCTCACCAGCCCCTCCTCCACACTCCCCACAGGCCCTCCTGTGGATGGGGCAGAGCTTCTGAGCCCTGGCTAGGGACCTCCCTGCTAGCACCCCCTTGACAGTGTCAGAAGTGGGTGAGAGGCAGGGGCTCAGTGAGGGTGGGGAGCCAGTTCGGCCTCAGCTCCAACCGTGGGGAAGCTTGATCCAGCCCTTCCTGAAGCTTCCCCAGGCTGCAACTGGGGCAGAAATGGATTCCTGGCCTGAGAGCCCCTTCCAATGCCAGGGAGCAAGCTGGCTCCAGCTTCCTGCTCTCTCTGCACAGGAATCCAAAGCCTTCACTCCCCTCCAGGCTCCAGGGTGGAAATTAGTAGGAGTCAAGAGGTGGGGGCCATGGCCCGACCAAGAWCACCCAGGTGAGGTCCCCTCCTCCAGGCTGGGAGGTCACTGAGAGATCTGGGAGTGTTCCAGGAAGGGCCTACCTGGGGAAGTCACCTAGTCCAAACGTTTCATGCTACACGTAGGGAAACTGAGGCCCKCGGGAAGCTAGCAGGAGTCTGAGCTCCCAGACGCCACTGTGGGGCCCGGTAGCGCCTGTGAGGGGGAGAGCAGGAGCCGGAGGAGGACCGTCAGGTGCACTGTCGAGCCCCCTCCCCTCCCCTGCCTCCCTGTCCTCTTCTCCTCCTTCTCCTAGTTTTTGCACGAAAAAAGACAGTCTTGTGGAAACGATCATCATTTTAAAAATATCTAAATACAAGTATAACAGAGAAAGCGCCGTCCGGCCCCAGGGTGGGCGCCCGTGCGGGTTTGGGTCATAGGGTTGTGCGTGCTTCTCTGCGGGTGGAATGGATCTCTGCCCACCGGTTTGTACCTTGCTTTTTTCTTAAAGTTGGTTTCTCAGATGTCATTCATATGCAGCAAAACCCTCCCTTTCTTGGAGAATATACTTCTGTGAATTTTGACAAATGTATTTCACCATGAAACCACCCCCTGAGCCTCATGTCATGGGTATCCATCCGTGCGAGTGGAAATAATCTAAATGCCCAACTATGGGGGATTAGCTTTAAAAAAAAAATGGTTTTGCCAGAAACTGCTTAGCCAGCCTCCTGGGGCCGGGCATGGAGGCTGCTCCCCACGGACCCTGCGGCGGTCAGCATCCTTCCCTGCTCGGGAGGGACCCGGTCCTCAGTGAGTGTTCAGAGTGGGCGCGCGTGGCTCCTTGCAGACCCGCCCTCCGCCTCACCGGCCCGCGGTCTCCCCTCTCGCCCGCTGCAGGGAACCGGCTGGACGAGGGCTCGGACGTGGAGTCGGAACCGGACCTCCCTCTGAAGCGCAAGCAGCGCCGCAGTCGGACCACGTTCACGGCCGAGCAGCTGGAGGAGCTGGAGAAGGCCTTCGAGAGGACCCACTACCCCGACATCTACACCCGCGAGGAGCTGGCCCAGAGGACCAAGCTGACCGAGGCCCGCGTGCAGGTGAGGGGACGCGGAGGCCGGGGTGGCCAAGGTCAGTGCCAGGGGATGGGGCCCGACCTCCACTTGTGAGCGATTAATGCCACCAGTACCCGGAGCAGAGTGWGTGGACAGCAAATGTGACTGGCCGAGAGGTGGACAGCCCAAGGGGAGGGGACATGGAGGGACAGAAAGAAGGAGAGGGAGACGGAGGAAGGGGAAGAAGGGCACTGAGCTGCGGGTCTCTGATGGGGACCGTGGGGAGGGGACTTCTGAGCAGGCCTGGCCTCCGCAGAGGGGTTGCGAGTTTCCCGTGGGGGAAGTGCCCCAGAGGCCGAGCAGGTGGGTGCCTGCGGGGTGTGACCCATCGGGCCAGGGCAGGGAGACCCCAGACCTGGAACGTCCCTGAGGGAGGGGCGGGGTAGGGCCAGAGCCTGGGGCTCCAGGCTTGCCCTGGGGAGGGGGTGGCCTCATGTCCCCAGTCTGGGCCCTGGACTTCCACCAGGAGGCCTGCAGATGTCCTTCAGTGCCGGGGCTCAGGCTGTGGAGGAGGACGAGGACAGGAGGTGACCAGTGGCTTCACCACTCCTGGGCTATCTCCTAATGACCGGGCAGTGGGCCTGCAGAGGGGCTGCCCCCGACTGCTGCGGGGGCTGTGACCAGCGGGGGGACCGGCTGGGTGCCCACTGCAGTGCCCGCGACTCCTCACAGGTGGCCTCGTGCAGCCTGGACAGCTCACGGGGTTGTCAGGGTCTCACACACAGCCCCCAAGCCCGAGGGACAGAAACAGGCCCAGGGAAGCGACCCCTCCCGGGCACAGAGCTGGACCCCGCTGGCTGGGCCTGATGGTGCCAACGCCCATGTTCTTTCCACGCGGAGGAGAGGGTGACTCAGACCATCAGGGAGACCCTGGCTGGAGCCTGCAGCCTGACTCCCAGCGYGGGGCAGCGCTCTGCCTTCCCCTCCCAGCCAGGGGGACATCTGAGCCTGCCCAGCCCGGCCTCCCTGATCCCTGCAGCTGTGCAGCGCATTCCTGGTGCCTCTGGTTCCCACGTCCGGGTCGGGCTCTTCCCGCCACCTTGCAGCCTGCCTGCTSCCTGTGAAATGGCCTGGCTGCCAGGACCGTGCTTTATGGGCCCAGGGGACCTAGAAACAGGTGTCACTCTCGGTCCAAGGAGGGCGGGGCCTGGGAGTGGAGGAGCAGGGAGCCCAGGCACGCTGCAGGCGGAGGCCGCGGACYCCCGGGGCTCCCTGCCATGCGCCTGCCACCGGCTGTGACCTCCAGGGGCTCCTTAGCCCCCAGGGTCTCTTAGCAGAGAAAGAAACAAAAATGCTGAGTTTTTGAAGAAGGAACAAAGGCTGACCGTCCACCCCCAAAACAAAATCAAGACCCTGYAGCCTGAGAGACTGAAGCCCATGCAGCCCGAGGGTGGAGGGACCAGGGACAACAGGGCATCGGCTCCAGTCCAGCAGGAAGGTCCACAGGGAGAGCGCTCAGGAGCCTGTGGGTCCCGCCTCTGACCCGCTGGGACACCTGGGCAGGCCACTTTCCCTTCCAGAGAGTTAGTGTCCATCTGCAGACAGGGGACGGAGCTCAGTGACCACGAAGCCTTCTGGAAGCTCTGGGGTTCTCACTGTGGACCATCAGAATGCTGGGGGGGAGGGGACCCCGTCTCTAGAAATGTTCAAGCAAAAGCACAGTGTCCAGCGGCCCCGGGAACCTGGAGAGGGATCCCTGCTGCAGGGAATGGGGCAGGGACCTTTCCCAATGCCCTGAGCAAGCACTGTTTAGATTCTGAGCTTCTTGTTTTTAGGTACCAGGGATTAGACCCAGGGGTGCTTTATCCCTGAGCTACATTCCTAGTTCTTTTTTTATTTTGTGACAGAGTCTTGCTAAGTTGCTGAGGGTTTCCTTAAGTTGCTGAGCCTGACCTCCACTTGTGATCCTCCTGCCTCAGCCTCTAGAGGGGCTGGGATTACAGACCTGCCCCATGGCGCAGGGCTTGGCTCTGTGCTTCTGAAGTCTTGGTCCCTGATCCTAAATCTGTGGTTCTGGGGTTTTGCAATCCAATCCTGTCTCATCCCCGTGGCCCTGGGTGGACATGGTGGGCAGTGGACGGGTTCGGGTGCAGTCAGAACCAGAAGCCTTGGGTTGGCTTCCATCCCCACCCCTCTCTGCTCTCCGCTGGGTCTCTTCCTCTGCACCGTGGAGGCAGGAGCAGTGGGTCAGCCTCGTTCTGGGATTAAATGATTAAGTGCAAAAAAAAAAAAAAATCTATTAAGAAATGCCTGGCCCAGAGGGGCTGGATCATGAAGACCCCCAGCTGCCCTTGGCAGTTCCAGCGCTGGCCGCCCCTGTGGCTCCRTGTCTGTCCCTCTGGCCATCATTCAGTGGGGACTGTCCGCCAGACGCTGATCTAGGCATCGGGGATTCCTCAGGCAGAAGTGCCCGTGGCCATGGGCCGCCATTCTAGTAGACAGGGAAGCAGGAGGGTGAGTCGGGAGCCGTGGGGAGAGCTGTGGGGAGAGCCGGCTATTCCTGCCCTCGGGCTCCCCCCAGCTTGGCCCCCAGGAGTCAGGAGCCCCCCACCCCGTTGAAGCCTTCTGGGCTGGCCACAGAGAAGCCAGCAGGAAGCCCGAGCCACAGGAGGGGCAGGGCACGCAGGCCAGGGACCCAGGACCACGCTGAGGAATTTCCACTTTTCAGCTGCTGGAGGCCGGCCCAGCCTGGCCTGCCTCTCCCCCGGAGGCGAACAGATCAGTGGCGTCAGCCTGAGCCTGAGCCTGAGCATTTCTTCTGGAAACAGAGGCCCAGGGGCTGCTGGGTCCCGAGGTCACCCACAGCACCTCCCACCCTTCAGGGAAGGGCAGCAGCGGGCACACGGTGGCCCCGGTTCAGAACCCTCTGTCAGCCGAACAGAAATGCCATTTTGGAGGCCCTGGAGGCTGGCTGATTAGCAGCCTGCAGGGAGTCTTTTTTTTAGTGGGTACCRGGGATTGAACTCAGGGGCACTGGACCACTGAGCCCCCTCCCCAGCCCTATTTTTTATTTCATTTAGAGACAGAGTCTCACTGAGTTGCTGAGCAAGACTTGCTAAATTGCCCAGGCTGGCCTTGAACTTGTGATCCTCCTGCCTCAGCCTCCCGAGACGATGGGATCACAGGCGGGCGCCACCCGGCCTGGCGCCACCCGGCCTGGTGCCACCTGCACTGAATCCGTTCACAGCTCTAGAGCGAGGTGACGGTGGGCGTCTGCAGTGCCAGGCAGGACGTTCCCCACTCGGCAGTGTCTCCGTCCCTCCTYGCTGTAGCCCTAGGAGGTGAGGGGTCAGTCCTCTGTCCATACGGCAGACAGGAAAACTGAGGTGTAGCCAAGGGACACAGCTTCCTGGCCACACAGAACGTGGCTGTGCTGGGCTCCAGTCTCTGCCGCTGTTCTTTTCCTCTGGGCAACACTAAGAGACAGATCAGGTGAGATTCAGCTCTGCAAGACGGTCCTACTGTGCCCGCTCCTGGGCTAGGTGCTGGGGCTGGGGTGCAGCTYGGTGGCAGAGCACGTGCTTGGCATGCACAAGGCCCTGGGTTCCATCTCCAGCGCCACAAAAAAAGAATAAAGAATAATAAGAATAAAGAATAATAAGTGCTGCTTTCCCAGAGCCCAGCCCTGGTCAGGGGCTCGGGGTGGGGTGCTGGCACCTCGACTGCCCCCCCCCGGGAGTCCCCACCTCCGGCCTGTAAACGGGCACCTCCCACTTGACGCTGGCCAGGAGCCTTCAGCTCAGCGCCTTCACGTGTCTCTGGCAGACAGCACAGTGCTGTATGTCACCAGTGCCCTCAACTCGCCCGAGGTCCAGAACTGCAGATGGCCACCAGGCGGAGGCCCAGAGGGAGGGACAGCAGACTTCCCCGTCTTAGCTGGAGGTCAGGGCAAGGCCCAAACCCAAGCAGCTGGCCCCAGGGAGCCTGCTGTCACCCATCAAGCCACACTTGGTGGCAAGTGGGGACCCCGGTGGGACGGCGGTGTCCCAGGGACAAGGGCAGGCCCTCTCCCGACAGGGTCCCCCTGGGCCCGGAGGAGGCAGCCGGAAGCCCCTCCCCTGGCCTCCCCACACACCTGCGAGGCACCGGCCTGAGGTCCCCGCACGGGAAAGCAGTGGTTCTTTGGCTCGAGGGTCCCACGCCAGGCGGAGGGCCGCTGCAGGACCAGGACGGGCCCCTGTCTCTCCTCGGGGTCTGTCAGGGATGAGGAGGTCGAGAGGGGGAGGGGAGGAAAGGAGCAGAGAAGGGGCCGGGGGGAAGGAGGGGGCTGCTTCCCRGTCCACTTTGCACTTTTGATTTGAGGAAAAGATGAGCCAGCAGGAGGGGACAGCCCCGGGACCGACCAGGATGTGTGACAAACCAGGACGCCTTAGTCCAAACGTCAGTGACCGTCCCCCGTGTCCGAGACTCCTGCCAGGCTCACGTTCTCCGCTGCTACTTCCTTCAGCAAAATGAACGTAGTTTGAAGTAAACGCGAGCAGCGTGTCCATAAAGGGACAGAACAGGGTGACGCAGGGACTGTGGAAACCCARCACCGCGGAAGTCTTGCAGGAACTGCCACCTGCAAAGCCCCCCTGGGCTGGACGGGGAGATTAGCGCGTAGGAGAGAGGGCCCAGGACAGATGGGGACGCATTAGCACCCCACGGAGGCCGCCCTTCCCCAAGCCACGGAGGGCCCGGAGAAGTGGGCGGGGCACTGGGCTCAGGCTGTTTCCSACCTGGACGTCTGTCCCCCGCGGCCTCCAGGTGGACGGACTCCAGCCAGCGTCCCCACCCTTCTCCAGGAGGCTGGGAGCCGGGGGCCCGTGCCCATTCCTCACAGGGTCCAGGTCCAGCCCAGCCCAGGAGGCCCCCGGGATGCCCCCGGTGCCCGGAAAGCCGGGGAGCAGCGGGACCTGGTTGGCTGGGGAGGTGGCTGCCTTCCCCCCAACCTGGCCCAAGCGGGTGGAGCCCTCTCTGCTCTGGTGCCGCTGCTCCCCGAGGACCTAGAGAAGAGCCAGGTCAGGCCCCAGCACCTGCACCCAGCTGAGCCCCGAGCCCCTTAGAGGAGAAGTGAGGGCGTCGGCGCCGAGGGGGGTTTGAGCTGAAGGCCGAGAAGCCATTGCAGAAAGGGCATTGGGGTGAGAGGGGGCAGCAGGTGCCGAGCCCAGGGGTGGGGACAGCCCTCGAAGCAGCCCGTCACCCTCTCCTTGTCTCTCTGGGTCCTAAGGAGTGGCAAACCCAGGCGAGCTGCCCTGGAGAGCMGGGCTGGTTTCAGTTGGAACCTAGATCCATGGCAGGCAGGTGGCCTTGGGCGAGCTGTGACCTCTCAGAGCCTCAGTTTCCCCTGCTGTAAAGTGGGCACAGGGTCGGGTACACACAGACCTGGGCAAGGATGGCCGGCAGRCTACCAGCACCCTCAGGGCTGGCGCAGCAGCAGTGGGGCGATCACGGACGAGAGGCTGGTCTGAGCCTCGACTTACCCTGTCGTGGCCAGTTACCCATTTTCTCTGAGTCTCAGTTTCCTCATCTTTAAAATGGGGACAATGATAAGAACTCTTCACTGGCCACGAGGACAGAAGCGGGTCCTGCCTATGAAATCCTCCYGCAGACCGTCCAGGTCTGCATGACGGGGGCCGTCCTTCCCTGGAGAAGGACGCTGCCTGGGCCGGAGGATGTGGCTGGGGTGGGGACTGGTTCCAGCGGCTCCAGCCGGGTGGTCTCCATCTCCGCTCTCGTCCCCCAGGTCTGGTTCAGTAACCGCCGCGCCCGTTGGCGGAAGCAGGCAGGAGCCAACCAGCTGGCAGCCTTCAACCACCTCCTGCCAGGGGGCTTCCCACCCACGGGCATGCCCACGCTGCCCCCGTACCAGCTGCCGGACTCCACCTACCCCACCACCACCATCTCCCAAGGTGAGCGTGCGGCCTGCCCCGCGTCCCTCCCCGGCCACCCGAGCCTCCAGTCCTCTGGCTCACAGGGGTTGTCCCTTCTAGGTTGTCCCACTTGTGGACTTTCCTGTCACACACTGTTAAGCCAACAAAAGGCCCCGCCATGCCCTTGAAATCCTTGGCTCMAGAGGTCACCCTCCAGGAGGCTCAGCTGGGCAGCTCCGAGCACCTGTGGGAAGAGAGCTTTCCGAATCCCTTCCATCACGCGTCCCCGGCATCTTGGGGATATGCTGGGCTGCGGGCCCGAGACTCCGCATTCCCATCAAGGGCTGCACAAAGAGGGACCCTGACAGAGCCGTGTAGCTGCCCGACAGCTGGGAACAGAAACRGCTCCGGGTCGAGCCATGTGAACCCTCGTCCCACCACCTAATGGCCTTGTCAYCTTGCATGAGTCCCCAACCCCACCAAGACTGGTGCTGTCATCTGTAAATGATGGGAATTGAGTTCTCACCTCGTGGCCCTGAGACAGCACCTGTGGAAGCCCCTGGCACGTGGCCGATGCTCACATACAGGAACAGGCCAAGTCTGAGCCGATTAGAGTCACCGGGCGGGTGGGGGGGTGACTTTCAGTCCAGCTAACGCTTACGGAGCACTTGCTGTGTACCTGCAGCAAGAGCAGCATGCAGCTGCAGAGAGGACGTCTGGGCATAAGGGTGTCAGTCAAGACTTGGCCCGTCCCTAGTGTCCTGCTCAGGAGCCAGTGTGTCCCTTCTTCCCAAGTCACCTGAGAGGGTGGCCGCTTTCCCCCAGGGGTGAGCCTGGGCTGCAGAGGCTCATGGCCGGCCTTCCTCCTAGGAGGCTCTTTCCTGCCCTCAAAGGCACAGCCTCCAGGGCGAGGTCCCAGGCTCAGGACTCTCTGGGGTCTCTCCACAGATGGGRGCAGCACCGTGCACCGGCCCCAGCCCCTCCCGCCGTCCACCATGCACCAGGGTGGGCTGGCCGCAGCCGCTGCCGCGGACACCAGCTCCGCTTACGGAGCCCGCCACAGCTTCTCCAGCTACTCSGACAGCTTCATGAACCCGGGGGCCCCCTCCAACCACATGAACCCCGTCAGCAACGGCCTGTCTCCTCAGGTAGGTGCTCCCCTGCTCCGCCCAGGCCCATCACCAGACACCTGAGGCCCAGCTCGTGAGTGCCCTGGGGGCTGTTCCGTCCACTCCCACTTACTGGGGTAGCCGTGGTCCTCTGCCCAGGGTGAGCTTCTCAGGCTGCCCACCTGCGTGTGGAGGGAGGGCTTCCACTGTCTTGCTGTCTAGAAACCGAAACAGGACTGTGCACTTGCCCTTGGCCTGCCCCATCCACCTCATGCTGTTCAGGTCGGTGCCTGGTCGGGCCTGGCCCCTTCCCTGCAGGAGGCCGGCTGGGCTGGGGTCCACCTGGGCTGCATCTCCTGCCTCCCACCAGGAGTGACCTGCCCTTGGGAGGCAGGACCCTCTGGGGTACAGAGAATTGCAGATGAGGCTCTGGACCCAGAGCTGCACTCTGATTGGGTCTCAGAACTCTGTTCACTCGCTCTGATTGGTTGCTGGTTTAGTCACTCAGAGAGGTCCTGGGACCTGCTTGGGATGAAGTCAGAGAGTGGGCGCTGGGCTCCTGGTGGCTTTTGGGGGTTTGAGGAACAGGAGTCGATGGTGCAGGGGTCCCAGGGAATTTGAGGCACCGATGGGTTCGTTTCTGTAGCTGCAGTAGCTCCCAGATCCCCGTGGGGGAGGGGACAGAGCCCGCCTGGGTTTCTTCTGTCTCTCACCTGCTGGGACCCCCAGCCCTGTCTGTGGGGAGCAGACACCAGACACAAACGGATCCCAACAGCTGTTGTGGGGGAAGGGTCGGGCGTCAGGGTGAGTTGAAATCCTCGCTCTGCCTTCTTGGGGTGACCTCAAGCTGCTGTGCAGCTCAAGCCTTGGTTTATCCTCCATTACACAAAACTCTGTTGCTAACCTGCACCAACCTGGTCACCAGTCCAAGCGCCTAGCACCCAGCCTGGCACAAAAGAAGGGCCGAGCCAATGTTAGTTGACTCCCTGTCCTGTTTCCTGGACAGTGTCATCGATACGGGACACCTGTTGTCTACCTCGAGGGAAAWTTTTTTTTTAAAGAGTCAAGGGGATCTGCTACTTCCTGCAGGCCACAGCCTCCAGCCACCTGTTTGTGTAAATAAAGTTTTATTGGAAYACGGCCACGTTCATCACGTGACGGCTGCTCTAGTGCAGTGATGGCGGAGTTGCTGAGCTTCCCGAGAGACCAGAGTCTGTGGGGCCTCAGATACTCTCTGGCTACCCAGAAAAGAATGCCAGTCCCTGGACTAAGGCAGGTCTGCTGGTCTGRGTTCCTTCTGGTGTCTCTACTGACSCGCACAGCGGGGGGYGACCTGCGTTTCYGCCTGTCCCTCGCTTGGGAAGACCTGGAGCAGTCCTTTCCCCTTGCTGTGCCTTGATCTTCTCATCTGTGAAATGGGGAYAATGCGGGTACCCACCTCCTAGGGTCACTGAGGATGGAGTGAARTGACYRTTGGAAAGGGCTTAGTAAACCTGAGCAGGCCACGCAGCGCCCTCTGGAGGCCCCCAAGCCTCCTGGGCCYGGCCACAGGATGAGGGGACATGACCCAGCTGAACTGTCAGCCCTGGGCTGGTCTCTCCGGGCCTCTTGGGTGCACAGACCCTGCACGTGCCCACCGCCTGCAGGCCAGATCTCCCCTCGCCAGTGAAACCCAGTGGCTTCTTGGGGGCTCAAGGTCATGGCCTCTGTCTCGTTAGTGTGGGGGGCTAAYCGGCCAGGCTGACCTGCCGGGACTGAACAGGGGGTCGGCAACCCAGGAGCCCCGAGTTTGCTGAGGGAAGGTGCTGCCGAGCGCTGGGGTGTCCGTGGCCCAGACGTGGTCCAGGCCTGGCCCTGGGGACAGAGCCAGTGTGGGGGAACACCCTCGGAAAGTTGAAGAGGGACCTTGAGACAGCGTGGAGCCCCTGCCTCCCTTTCCAGATGGCGGGACATGTCGGCTGGCCAGGCTGAGCCAGGGCACCCTAGCCCCTGCCAGTAGCTGCAGCCCCTCCTGTGCCCGAGGCCTCTCCTCCGCAGGACCCTGTCGCAGAGCCAGGAGGCCCAGCAGACAGGGGTCCCTGGGCGAGGGGATGGGCTTAAGGGTGACAAGGGAGGGGAGGACAACTCCCTGGGGTGAGCACTGATCTTGGGGAGACTTCCCCGATCATGGCTAGAGGGCTTTGGGGTGGGGTGTGTTTGCCTGGAAGCCCCCGAGGGGGACCCACTCCCCGCTGCCTCACAAGAGGAGAGTTGAAAGGAAGAGACCGGGAGGGTGCACCCCATCTTGGGGCTGAGAAGCTGCGGGACATGATGGATTGGGTGACCTTGGRGGGCCACCCAGAGTTCCCACCAAAGGTGTGAAGACAGGCGGAGGGTCTGACGGGGGCAGAGGGGACCCAGGGGTGAAGGGCTGCGGGGGGGGGGGCGCACTCAGGGCAGGAGCCAGGGCAGAAGTGTGCACGTGTGTGAATGGGTGTGTGTGCGCGTATGTGCGCGTGTGTGCGTGTGCATGGGTGTGTGTGTGTGCGCGTGTGTGCGTGTGCATGTGTGTGAATGGGTGTGTGTGCGTGTGCATGGGTGTGTGTGCGCGTGTGTGTGCGTGTGCATGTGTGTGTGTGTGTGCATGTGTGTGTGTGCGCGTGTGTGTGTGCGTGTGCATGTGTGTGTGTGTGTGCATGTGTGTGCGCGCGCACCCATGCGCCCAGCTGGGTTCAGCCCTGGACACTTCCTGAAGGACCTGAAAGACAGGGAGTGGGGCGGGGGAGGAGGGGCGGCAGGGGCTTCACGTCCAAGACAGAAGCCGCAGCTTTTCCCAGCCCTGACTCCAGGGTTCCCACGCACAGCCCCCCCCCAGCACCCCCAGCCCCTGCCCAAGCAACATCACCGGCTCATCTCTGGGGTCTTGGAGAGGTGGGGTGGGGGGTTCYCACCCAGGAGGGGTCTCTGTAGGGAGATCATTTGTGGGGACAAATGGGCCCAGTGCCCCCCCCCCCGGCAGGAGGGGCTTTAGTGCAGCTCACCTGGGCCAGGAGAGGGTGGCTTTCCACCTGGGCTGGGGCCAGCATGGCCTCCGTGACCCGGGGCTGCAGGTCCTGCCGCTCACTGTGAGCCGGGAGCTTTGCCCTTGACCCTGGACGGTGGTTTGTTCTTACAGAAGCCCCCCCCGGGGGGGGCGTGAAGCTGGGCTCGGAGCACCTGGGCAGACCTGGGCAGCCGGCTCCTCACCCTCATGGCTTCTGGGGAGAAGACACCTCCTTCTGCAGGTTCACCTGGGTCCCTTGTCACCAGGCGGCCAGGGAAGTGGGTGTCACAGAGCCCCCAGGACTCCCTGGGAGATTTGGCCAAATTTCACAGAAAAAGCATTTCTTCTCAGTTCTGTGCCGGTGTCCTGGGCAGCTGAGAGGACAGCGGTTTACCAGCGGCCTGCCTGTGCCAGGCCCTTTGCCTGCCTGTGCCAGGCCCTGTCCCCACACCCTGTCACCTGCTCAGCCTGGGCCCTGCTCAGTGCCTGCCCCGCTCAGCTTGGGGGAGGGAAGAGCACTCTCCCCATGTCACGGATGAGCAAACCGAGGCCCAGGACCTCAGGGTAGGGACCAGTGGCAGAGCTACTGGGTGGGCAGAGCCCTGCCTTTAGGCTTGGGTCCCTTGGTGTCCCCAACTGCAAACGCCAGCCTTGCGGGATCAGGTGCTAAGTGCTTGACACAGGAGGTCCCAGCTTTGCGCACTGTGTCCTTCCGAACAGGTGTCGGGGAGCCCAGGGGACCTCATTTCCGATGGCTCGTCCCGGGTTAGGACTCAGCCCCCAGCCCCCGCTCCCCCGCTCCAGGGTCGGGACCTTGGAAAAGGCTCTTAGAAAACAACTGGGAGTTGGGGACAAAAGACGCCTTGGGAACGGGAATACACTGACAGCCCCGTCTAGGAGGGACAAGCAGAGGGTGCAGAAGGAGGACGCCCGGGTCCCCTGCCCTGCAGGACCCCAGCGTGGTGGGGAGGCAGCTCATCCCCTGGAGCTCGAGGTCAGATGGCGGGGACAAGCCTCTTGTCCTTGGGCACCCCGGCCGGAGAGCAGAGCACAGTCCGCTCTGGAGGGGTCCCTGGGAGGGTGGAGGCAGGTGTCCCACAGTCCCCGGGACTTGCAGGTCTTACTGGCCCCAAATCCAAGCACCGAGTCACAAGCAAAATTCTGCCATTTCCAGGGTCCTTGGGGCTGGAGGCCACAGRCAGGCTCCCTGTGCTGGGCCTCTCCAGGGATGAGCCATGTGCCCCCAGGTGCCAGGCTCTGTGGAAGGTTCTAGAAAGTGACAGAGCTGGGCTAGGAACAGGTGGCTCCAGAGCCCACTGTGCTGTACACGGTCAGCCCCGAGAAGCTGGTCCCAGAATCCATAAGGGGCCATCGGGGCAGAACTGGGTTCAGAGYCTGTGTCCCCAAGTCCCTTCTTCCCCAGCTTTTTTTAGGGGTTGATTCAGGGCTGGAAATGGGAACCAGGGACCAGAGAGGGCTCAGCTTCCCAAGATGGGCTCCAGGTCACACCCTTGTGTCGGTGGCCCCCAGGGCGCTAGAGTCCTCCTGCTCCTCCTAACGTCCCCAGGTGCCACCATGTCCCTCTCTGGAGCTTAAGGAATCTATAAAGGGATTTACATAGTCACCATCCCCCGACACCGAGCTACGAAAACTACCCTCCAAGTGTGCAGCTGACCACTGCCCACTGTCCCTGCAGACCCAGGCTCCTGTCCCTCCCGGGCACGTACTAATGGGGTGACAGGGGCTGGGGCGCAGCTCCGTGGGGGAGGCCCTAGATTCGACCCCCAGAGCTGCAAACAGTATAAACACTCCAGTGACCKTCACCGTGGGGTGGACACTTACGGCAGCCAGGCCCAGGCGGGCCAAAGGCTGAGCCTATGTCCCAGGTCACAGCTATCCTGTGACTTCCATGTTACAGGCAAGGAGACTGCTTTATCCGGGGTCTTCCATCCGCCTATTAGYGACTGTTTGTGGGGTCATGTGTCAGGCTCTGTGGAAGGTTCTAGAAAGTGACAGC